TCCATATGTCCAACTTTAGGATTCTTCTTTGAACTGGTCCAACATTTTACTGGTTCATTTATTAATGAGGTAAAAGGGATTCTTTGGTACACGTTCACTTTCCAATTTATATTGAGAATCATGACTTTACATTCTTTTTAAACATTTTTATTTATTTTTTTAGAGGTTTTTGTCATAGGGCACATACACTTGCCAGAGAGAGAGAGAGAGACAGTGAGAGGGAAAGTGAAAAATCACCCCTCGGGAGATGGCCACTCTGCAACCTCTTCTCCAGTCTCCCCCTGGGACCTTGGGCATGCACGCACACGCACCGGCTTGATCTTACATGCTTGTAAAATGAGCGTCCACCAGCAGTCACTGAGGGAAGGCAGGTGGGTGTGAGGGGGTGGAGCTGAGGGAGGAACCTCCCAGTAACTTCCCGTTCCTGAGGACAGACACGATGTCGAATAGCCGGGTGACTGTGGAGTGAACGGACCGGGGAATGTCAGGACCATGGCAGCCCTAAAGGCCCACGGAGGTTCGTCACAAGTTGAAAGTGAGGAGGTACCGGACTGGGGTACGGAGGCACGTAGGCAGTGGAGGGAGAGCGGAGTCGAACCGGGGCGTGGCTTTGCCAGGTGGGGGGACAGAAGCAAGGCCAGGAGGCGTGAGAGTTGAGGACCTACAGGAAGGACCAACTGGAGCAGTTCCCTTGGCGTCTAAGCCAGGTCAGGAGGGCGGACTTAGAGAGGGGAGGGACACTGAAATGGAGCAAGGTCCCCAGACTGGAGGTCCCCATCCGTGGGAGGATTGTCTGAGTCGTGGTACTAGGATGATGAGCAGGAAAGACAGGAGCTGGTGGCCAGGGAGGAAGCGAACATTCTCTCCCTAGGGGCCAGCTGCCAGCACCCCATTGTCGGGGTCACCACCCTGCTAACCACCCACTCCCGTCTTTGTGTGTGGGAAGTCAGCTGTTTTGCATGGAGGGCTTACTTCTTCCTCCTCGTTGGTTCTTACTTGCTTTCTGTCCATGAGGTGATTCCATGAAATCAAGTCTTGTTTATTATTTTACTTTTTAGCCTTTTGTCATAGGGTGTGTGCGCTCCCCAGAGAGAGACAGTAAGAAGGAAAGTGAGAAATCACCCCCCAGAGGGAATGGTCACACTGCAATCCCTTCTCCTCAATTCTCCTCTTGGGATCTTGGGCATGCATGCACACATGCCTGGTGTGATTTTCAAGCTGCCAGGTCTGGGACTTGAACTGCAGTTGGTCATGTGGGAGTCCAGCACCTTAGCCACCATGCCACCTGCTGGCCCCTCGAGTCTTGCTGTTTTCCTCAAGGGTGAGCAGAATCTCAACAGGCAGCTAGCATGACGACCAGGGAGGGTCTCTGTGGAAGGTCGTGCCATCTGCACACGGCACCAACCCTGACTGAGGGGGAGGAGGAGCTGGGATGCAGAGGAGCCCTCTCGCTGAGCTGCGGCCCCAGCACCACCTGTGGTTAGTGCCTGCATAGGCTCACGGCCTGCTAACACGGGATGCTCCTTCTCTAATTCACAGAACTGTCAGCCAGGGAGCCCTAAGATGCTCCCCACTGCCTGGTTTTACCCTGAAGGCCGGACTTCAGAGATTTGTGTCTTTTTATTTTTTTAAGAAATCCCTTGCAGAATTGTGCCCTTTAAGTGCTTGACCACTGAGTGTCTTTAAGGCAGACTGGATATTATCCTTGCTTAATCTGTACACAGAGCAGCTCTCTTCTTTAGAAATGATTAGAGGATCTCTGTGCTCACCAAAAACAGAGAGACAAACACAAAGAGAGAAAGCACCCCCGATGGACACGGCCATGCTGCAATCCCTTCTCCATTTCTCCATCCTGTCGAGTTCGGGCATAATGGAACCAGGATAGTATGAATGGGTGGTGTGGATGTTAAGGTGGCTGGATCCCACATGGCCTACTGTGCGGTCCCGAGTCCTGGGCCCGACAGCGTGGAAACCACACCTGGTACACGTGTGTGCATTCCAAGACTCCCAAGGGGAGAGAGGAGGAGAAGGGAGCTGCAGTGTGGCTATACCCCCTGGAGGGTGATCTCTCTCTCCCTCCCCAGAGAGCACATATGCCCTAGAGCAGACTGAAAAACAGAGCGCGGGAAAGCATGCCAACACACATGGTGTGCATTTCGAACGACGCAGGCTGCGATGTGAGTCACAGTTGGCCATGCAGGATCCAGTTCCCTTAGTCATTAGGTTATGATGTCGGCCCTGTAGTTTTTATTTGGACAATTAAATCTGCTTCCCTTAATGTTATACAAGGCTTTTAAAAATATTTTTTGGAGGTTTTCGCTATAGGGCGTGTGCGCTCGCCAGACAGACGGAGAGAGACAGAGACAGAAAGCGAGAGATATACAAGGCTTTTAAGGAGAGCATTGTTATTTGAGAGAAATGCTTAAGTATGTGTCAGAACCCGCTGCTACCTGCCCCTTTCTTGTGCATTCATCAGAAAACTCAGGTTAGACTAACTTAAGACCTTTATAAAAAGCAGCCGAACAATTTCTTTTTTCTAATAAGTAACAGGAACGAGTGGGCACCAATTGCTAAGACAGGTTGCAGAAGGGAAAAGAAATTCCACTCGCTCGCTGGCTATTTTGAGGTCTTTAATACTGTATCAGTCCGTGCTGAGGAACACGTATCCAGAGCCCTGGAGTTTTCAGCCCCTTTAGTTATGCCAGTGTGTACAGTTTCCTTGAACTGAGATGAAACTGCATACAAAAATAACTGAATAATGCAAAGGCTTTTTTAAAAAATGGAATTCTAGCAATAACCTCTAGAATTAGAAACATAATATGGAACACAACACAGCTTTATGGAGACAAGAATAACCCAGGCTCGCTGTAAGCAAATGTTGGTATGGAGGATGAGCCGCAGCTCGGAGACGTAAAAGACAAGGCCATTTCCAGCACATCTTACAGCCAGTAGCTCACCAGAGGAGGCGATCCCGAGGGAGTTCAGTATCGGGTCTCCTAACTTAGCAGCAGAGAGTGAAACACGAAGGCTACTCGGCCAAGCTAACAGGAAGGTCAAGGCTCCCCAGCTCCACAGCATCTCTGGGTCACCCTGAGAAGAACTCAGCCTCCGGGGCCTCCCTCTCTGTGCTAACCAACAGCAGAGCCACCAACGGCAAGGACAGCGCCATTCCCGTCAGTCCTGGTTGGTTAAGCTTTCCGCAAAGGCCACGCTGCGTCTGAGAGCTCCTTTGAGCATGTCCCTGTTCGTCTTTCATCCTCATGTAGAAACGCAGTGTTTGGGCGAGGAGGGAAGTACCACGGTGAGTGTGAGTGTGAGTGTGAGTGTGAGCAGAGGGCAGGCGCGGCAGGGGGAAGTGGACGGTCTTCTCAGCCTCAGCTGGAGCTCCCCGTGGGAGACGCTCACCACCTAGAGTACCTGAGATTCCAGGACGTCAGCCAAATCCTTAGTCCAACTTTAGAATAAAACTGCATGCTAGGGGCCAGCAGGTGGTGTGGTGGTGAAGGCAGTGGACTCCCACATGGTGGTTCGAGTCCTGGGCCTGGTGGCTTGCTTTCTTATTCTCTCTCTCTTTCTCTCTGGTGAATGCATGTGCCCTGTAGCAAATTAAAAGAAAGAAATACAATTAAATGTTTATTTTAAAAAATTGCATGCTAAACCAAAATACAATTTCCCCCCAAATAACGTATTAAAAATTATGCACGCCATTTGGGTGGAAATCCATACCAAACTGCTTTACACTTCCAATGTGCACATCACTTTGCTTGTGAGTCCTTGTTCCAAGGGTGGCAACTTCTAAATGATAATGCAATGACTGTGTCACGTCCTTGAAGAGACTGAGTAACATTCATCTTAACTGGGTGCTTTCTGACGGATGGGGACAGCCCTGCACCGGCATTAGCACGAGGACTCTCGTGTGTGCATTGACACGCGTGTATCTAAAATCAGACTGAAAGGGTGAGTGTGACGGCCGTGGCGTACCGTCCCAGGGGTGGGCTGAGGAAAGATCGCTTTAGACCGCATTTGATAGGCGTGGAATGAATTGTGAGGTTCTCTGCACCACAGCAGGCTCCGCGTTAAGTGCAGAACTTCTGTCTTAGACTCAGGAGCGACATCTGTATAGAGGAAGCAAGTCGTTCCTCAGTCAGTGAGCCAGAAGACCCCACGCTGACACGCAGTCTGTGTGGCTCAGGCCGGGGCATTATTTTTCAAGTTTTTGCTTTTCTTTCATACCACGCATTGATTTCCATTCAAATAACAATTTCATCACGGGTGCTTTAACATATGCTATTTAAGTGGAAATTTGATTCCTAAATATATTCAGATTCATTCCATTAGCTGGAAAAAGCTCAGGAAGACATGAATCCATTTTGAATAACTATATAGGAATGAGGCTACGGTACTATCCAATCTGGAGGCCTTTTTGTACAAAAGTATAAAAATATTTTATTTTCTGAAGTTGTCTCTTACTTTTTAAAAGTTTTTGCTAGATGGTATGTGTGCTCACCAGAGAGAGAGAAGTGAAAAATCACCCCCAGTGGGGGATGGCCATGATGCAATGCCTTTTCCTCCATTCTCCTCTCGGAATTTTGGGCATGGACGTACACGTACCTAGTGTGATTCTCAAGTTGCTGGACCTGGGATCCGAACTGCAGAGCCAGCCATGAGGGATCCTGTGCCCCAACCTCCATGCCACCTGCTGGCCCATTTTTTTTTTCTCCATAGGGCATGTGCACTCACCAGAAGAGAAAGAGACAGTGAGAGCGGAAAGTGAGAAATCACCCACAAGGGGTGATGGCCAACCCACAATCCCTTCTTCTCCACTCTCCTCTTCAGATTTCATGCATGCACACACATGCACCTGGCATGATTTTCAAGCTGCCAGGTTTGGGATTTGAACCACGGTCGGTCATGTGGGAGTCCAGCACCTTAACCACCCTGCCACCTGCTGACCGCCCCATGATGCTTTCACTTTTGAAGTCCTCCTTTGAAGGTACTTTTCCTACACACAGGCTGGCCTTCCCCACAGGCTGTTCCGGGGTGACCCTAGCCCCTCCGCTGTCATGTGTGTGCATGAAGCTGGCCTGCTCTGGGCCCCTCTGCCTGAGGAGCAGTTCAGGCAAGGCTGTACTTCGGTCAGTTGTCTGGGTTTAGAGAGTATCTCAGAAGGCAGACGCGCAAACAGGCCTGCCGGTATTTCTCCTTTGAAGACACGTTGAAGATTCGTTTTCCTGAGGGGTGTGGCTTTGCCCCTTCAATGACTTTATCACAACAGCGGAGCGGTTTGCTGCCGGCCTGCAGAAACGGCGCTCCAGTCCCCAGACTTCGCTGCCTCAAGGAGCGGGGCCTGTCACGCAGCGGGCATTCCCCTGGCTTACTTTAAAACAGAAATGGTAGGAAGGCTCTCCTGTGCTTTGGGTAGGAGACAAACGTGCTTCTGTAGAATCGGTGGCTGAGGAGAGCGGCCAGAGCGTGGCTGAAGAAGACGTATGCCACCACGAGCCACCAAGTGAAGTTCCGGAGCCCGAAGGTGACGGCAATGGACACGTAGATCATCAGCTCCGCTAAGTAGTTCGGGGAGGAGACGTACTCGAACCAGTCTCCGAAGGGGATCCTGTGGCTGCAGTGAACGGGCACTCCTGGAACGGGGGAGGAAGGCCATGAGGGCTGCAGGCGGGGCACCCGTTCCCAGTCACTCACACAAACTCTTCTTCTTAAGGTTTATTTATTTTTCATTTTATCTGTTACTATTATTTACTTCTTAATTTGATCAGAGAAGGACAGAGAGAGAGACAGAAAGAGAAAGTGAGAAAGCAAGCCACCAGGTCCGTGACTCAAACCATGGCTGATTAAATGGGAGTTCAGTGCCTGCACCACCACGCCACCTGCTGGCCCCTACTCATAGAAACTCTTATTTAGCAAAGAGTATGTGGAGCCAGCTAGTGACAGCGTGGTTATGGCACTGGATTCCCACATAGCCAATTGCAGTCTGAGTCCGGGACCTGAAACTCATGCCGGGCACATATGTGTGTGTGCCCAAAATCGCGAGAGGAGGGTGGAAGGGAAGAGACTGAGGCATGGCTATTTCCTCAGAGGGTGATTTCTCGCTTTCTCTCTTGGACTCTCTAGTGAGTGCACGCACCCCATAGCAAAAATATCTTTAAAAAAAAAAGTAAAAGAAAAAAGAAAGAGGAGAGTATCACACACCTATGTGCAAACCACCACCCACCACACTTCCATTGTCAACTACTACATGTTTAGAAAGTGCAAAAGAAGAGCCAGTTTCTCAGGCAATCCTCCAAGCTAGTAATCAGGAGCTCGGACTCGAGGGTCACACTGCACCAGTTCAAATCCTGGTGCACCCACTTACCAGGTGTGTGTTTAGATACAGCACTTGGAACAGAGCCCGGCACAAAATGGGTACTGGACAGACATTAAATGCTACTATTCCACTTTTCATAGCTTGTAAAGCCTCGTGGAAACTGTACTTGCGATACGTCAACCCACACTAACTAAAAGGTTGGGTTTTATTTCCCCCCTCTGGCTGGAACGACACTAATTCCATGGTCACACTAGCTCTTAAGTGCTGACCGGGTGTGTCTGTCCACTAGTCTCTGTAACGTGGGCATAGCACAGCCCTCCATGCCAGGGCTAGGTGGGCCACGGAGCTCTTTCAGGGCAGGCTCTCGCTTTATAGACGGGACGAGCACGGTCAGACCCAGAGAGAGGTCTTGCTGGAAGTGAGCATTTGGGGACCAGGAGATGGCATGATGGCTACGTCGCTGGACTCCCACGTAGTTGACTGTGGTTTGAGTCCCAGACCCAGCAGCTTAAACTCACACAGGGTGTATGTGTGTGTGTGCCCAAGATCCTAAGAGGAGAATGGAGGAGAAGGGATTGCAGTGTGGCCATCCTCCTGGGGGGTGATTTCTCGCTTTCTGTTTCTCTGACTCTCTCTCTCTGCCAAGTATGCCCTATAGCAAAAAATAATTCTAAAAAAAAAGAAAGAAAGAAAATGAAAACGAGCATTTGATGTATTGGGGTCATTGGAAAAGTCATGACATACTTTTGCATAGAAGGACAGAAAGACATGTCATGGCTTTTCTGACGACCCAATATATTGTCAATGAACTAGGACAGGAAGAAAAACAGGAGAACGTGGAGAACTTGCTTCCGAGGGCTCAAACCCTCGGAAGGAGGTCTCACCTGCTTTATTCTTCCTGAGGCCGCCGAGGATGGCGTGGCTTCTGTACTGGTGGGCGGACGACCAGAGGAACATCACCAGCCCGAGGATGTGGAACCACCGTGCCTGCATCAGCAGGTTCTTCCCGGCCACGTAAACTGAGGACGCAGAATGAGCCTGTTAGTCTTGGCCAGCTGTCAGGCGGCACGTGCTCGGGGATTAGAATCACGGTCAGCCGAACATAGTTACCCGTTGCTCTATTCCTCCCGACAAGGACAGTCTCCTGGCATGGTTCCTCCACCCGAGAGGAGGCCAGAGAACTCCATGTGGGACACACTCCCCTGCACCTTCTTTAAATGCTCCAAGCACAAAATTCAGCTGTTTCCCACTCAGGTGGCCTTCCCTTGGGGGGGGGTATTTTCTATTTCTATTGTGAAGCCTGGTTTTCGTTTGTTTGTTCGTTTTCTTTTTAATGGCCAGAAGGCCTGTGCATATCCCAGAGGCAGAGGAAGAGAGATACAGAGGAAGGGGGGGCCAGCAGAGGGCACAGCAGTTATGTCTCTGGACTCCCACATGGCCAACCACAGTTTGAGTCCCGGACCTGGTGACTTGAAAACCATGCCGGACACATGTGCATGTGTGCCCATGTTCCCAGGAAAAGAATGGAGGAGAAAAAATTACAGTGTGGCCATCCACTCTGGGGGGTGATTTCTCACTTTTTCTCATTGTCTCTGTCTCTCTCTGGTGAGTGCACACACCCTAAAGCAAAAACCTCTAAAAAAAAGAAAAAAGAGAGGGAGAGAAAGCACCCTGGGGTGGGGGGACGGTCACATTGTAATCCCTTCTCCTCCTCTGCCCATCCTGTCGGGATCTGGGGCGTGCACGTGCACACACCTGGAGTGTTTTTCAGCCACTGGGTCCAAGATTCGAACCACTGCTGACCACGTGGGACTCAGCGGCCTTAACCACACATATACGAGGGTAGCCCTGAAATCTGGTGTTAAGTCTTCTTTCTTGCTTGTTGTTGTCAGGAAAACACTTTCTGAAGAAGTGTCTCCCTGACCAACCTCCCTCGGCCTGTGCCAGCGAGACCCTGCTGCGGAAAGCGGACCTGACCGCGCTGGCCGGTGAAGAAACCCACTGGAGGCGACGGCTGAGGGGGCGTCTCGAGAAGGAAAGTGTAGACTGCAAGACAAACGACAGAACGGTGTCCTGTTCCGGTAAGCGAGAACCCAGTCAGGGCTTTCGTCTCAGGAGGAGGAGCTCCCCAAGTCCCGTCTTCCCCCTCCTTTCCCAGCCCAGGAAGGCGGGGGGCAGGCTCTCGGGACGCAGGAGCGCATCCACTGGCATCGGCAGGGCGAATTAAGGGCTGCCTCGGGACTGACCGGAAGCAGCCAGCCCAGCCAGGGTCTTGGCCGGAGAAACAAAGTCGCCCATTGATTGGGCAAGAGCCACGAGGAAAGCCTGGCCACACCGACTTGGTGACCAAGGACTGCGATGTTCCATGGTTCCTGGAAGTCACGACAGCTGGCAACCAGGGGAGCCCCCGACGTCCACCTGTGTCAACTGCTTTCGAAACTTGATCTGTATAAACAACCTGCTGTAGCCTTTTAATATTTACTGGGTTAGTCATTAAAATAAAAGTTATACTCCACGAGGAAAGCCTGGCCACACCGACTTGGTGACCAAGGACTGCGATGTTCCATGGTTCCTGGAAGTCACGACAGCTGGCAACCAGGGGAGCCCCCGACGTCCACCTGTGTCAACTGCTTTCGAAACTTGATCTGTATAAACAACCTGCTGTAGCCTTTTAATATTTACTGGGTTAGTCATTAAAATAAAAGTTATACTCTATTTTTTAAATAATTATTTATTTTATTTTATTTATTTCATTCATTTATTATTATTATTATTTTTAGTTTGACCAGAGTGAGACAGAGGGTGAGACAGAGAGAGAGGAAGTGAGAAAGCAAGCCACCAGATTCAGGACTTGAACCCTGGTCAACCATGTGGGAGTGTCCAGCGCCTTAACCACCATGCCACCTGCTGGTTGCAAGGTTATACTCTTTTTAAAGAATTATTTTATTTAACTTGTATTTATTTATCATTATTATTTCTTAATTTGACCTGAAAGAGAGAGAAAGGGAGGGAAGGAAGGAGGGGGGGAGAGGGAGGGAGAGAGGGAGAGAGAGAGAGAGAGAGAGAGAGAGAGAGAGAGAGAGGAAAGTGAGAAAGCAAAAGCAAGCCACCAGCTACAGGACTCAAACCGTGGTTAGCCACGTGGGAGTCCAGTACCCTAACCACCATGCCACCTGCTGGTCCCAAAGATTATACTTTTGTGAGAAATATATCTTTATATCAGATGGGCTTCAGAAGCAAGAACTGTAGGACCGAAAGGTAAAGCAAGCGTCTGGGCCAGCAGGCAGCGTGGTGGTTGAGGTGCTAGACTCCCACAAGGCTGACCACTGGTTCAAATCCGGGCCTGTGGCTTGCTTTATGCCCTATAGCAAGTTAAATAATAATAATAATGGAAAAATCCAATACAAAAGAGAAAGCAAGTGTCTGAAAGTTCAAATCACCCAGTTCTCTACTCCAAATGCAGAGAAATTCCCTCTGAGGAGAGAAAAACCCGTAAGAGCAGGGCCGCGGTTATAACTCAGGGAAGCGAGGCAGGGGGAAGGCTCGGAGCGACTGAGGATCTCCTCTGTGCAGGGCTTAGCTGCCTGTTTCCCTCTCAGCTTCTCACGAGCGCCTGCTAAGCACCGTGTACAACGCAGCAGGTCAGGTGAGACCCGGTCCTCACGGCGTACACTCTAGCTCACAGATAAGTCTACACTCCACTGTTACGGGAACCCGGTGTGTGCGCCCAAGTCCCGACGAGGGCCCTGGGCTCAGAGAGGTTCCACGAGACCCAGCCCGCCAGCTTTGCAGCAGGTGCCCCAGCGCGCCTAGGAATTACGGAAAGCCTCTTCCCGTGTTGCCCCAAAGGACCCAGGTGATCTTAGAGGACAAGGAGGAGCAGCAGAAATGCCTTCCCAAGTGTTTAGGAGGACGCTCTCGTGGGGGGCGGCTCTGCGCCCTTTCCTGGACGGTTTACGCTGGAGGAAGGCGAAGCTGGATCCGCCCGCAGAGGAAACGCCCCAGGAGAGACGCGGGCTGAGCGCGAGCGGGGGACCGGGGTGCCCTGGAAGGTTCTTTGGGTGGAAAATGCAGCGAGGAAGGACAGCCCTATCACGGCATCAGCAAACACGAATGCCACCACCGAAGATCGGGAACCGTCTTGAAACATTCAGAGAAACTGGAGGAGGGAGGCTGGCTGGAGGCTGGCTGGAGGCTGCTGTGCAGGAGCAGCTCAAGAGCTGGGCAAGGCTGTCATTAAGTCCTGCTCTGAAACCACGCCTCCCGCCGGGGCGTGGGCTGTGCCACAGCAGCAGGGAGAAGACTGTGGAGGGTCATCACCGAGGGTGGGAGATCCAGTCTCGATTTACGAGGACGGACAGGGCTTAGGAAACGTGGAGCGTGCATGCGAATGTGCCAGTGTGATTTTCAAGTGCTGGGTGTGGGACTTGAACAGCAGTTAACCAGGTGTGAGTCGAACGCCTTACCACCGCACCACCTGCCAGCCCTTGGCATGTATCATTTTTAACTGGCTATTGGAGTCCTCGACTCAAATGCAAAGTGGATCGGGTGCATCTCCCACCTCGGAGCTTCTCGTGGTGCTCAGTGGGGCAAGAGGCCTGAAGAGCAGCTCATCTGCCCATGACAGGCCGCGCCAGCAGGGCCGGGCCACCCACCGTTCCTGCCGTCCATCGGCACTTGGCTCAGCACAGTCAGGCCGACCAGGACGTAGTAGGCGAGGCCGAAGCAGTACTGCACCACGTGGATCACGGTGTTGGAGAAGACGCTGACGTAGAGGCACTCGAAGAGCCTCCGCCAGCTGTGCAGCCACAGGAAGACGAGGACTAAGAACCCAGACAGGGCCAGCTCGCCGCCTGCAATTCAGAGGGGACGCGGTAAGCGTCGCTCTCCTGGAACGCGCGCCAGGTTCCGTTTTTCCCCACCGTTAAACAGAGCATCAGGGGACCAGCAGGTGGCATGGTGGCTGAGGTGCTGGACACTTCCACATGGCCGACCGAGGTTCGAGTCCTGGACCTGGTGGCTTGCTTTCTTACCCCCCTTTCTCTGTGTTTCTCTCTGGTCAAGTTAAAATAAATGAATGAATAAAAATATAAATAATTATTTAAAAAAACAACAGAGCATCAGACAAGAGTAGAGCTAAAAGGGGGCCCTAGAAGCCCTCCAGCCCAACACCTTCCTCTTATGGGGGCCTTAGAAACTACCTAGACTCCCACATGGCTGACCATAGTTTGAGTCCTGCACCTGGCAGCTTGCTTTCTCACTTTCCGTCTCTCTCACTTTTATTCCCCTTTTGTCCTTCTCTGATCAAACAAAAATAAATAAATAAAGTTTAAATAAAATAATCCCTTAAAAAGAAAGAAAGAAAAGAAACGATCCAGTCAGATGCCTTTCTCTTTTTCAGCAGTAAGGATACAGGCCGAATGAAGTAGAAGCGCCGGGTCCAAGGTCAGCTAGTGACAGAGCTGAGGCAGACACCTGTCTCTTAGCTGGGCTTTACATTCGAGAACCTTCCAGATGGAACCAACCCATCCTCCCATACGACCAGGATGTGGTTTAAGACAGCACATGACCAGAATAGGTAAAGTTACCTTAAGGCACTCCCCACCCTGCCCTGCATCAGCCCAGACTGGCTTTGCCTGCTTTTGTATTTTAATTTTTACTTATCTTTTAATTTGCCAGAGGGTATGTGCACTTGCTAGAGAGAGACAAAGAGAGAGAGAGAAAATGCCCTCCCCCCGCGGGGCATGGTCACCGCCATCCCTTCTCCTCCATCGCTCCCTCCTTTCAGGACGTTGGACATGCACACGCACTTGCCCAGCAGGTTTCTCAAGCTGCCAGTCTGAGGCTTGAACCGTGTGGTCGGCCGCGTGGGATCCAGTCGCCCCAACCACCATTCCACCAGCTGGCCCTGCTTTTGTATTTTAAATAAATTAAAAGCTAATTTTAACTCTTTAGAAACAGGTTAAAACAAACAACCAAACTCACAGCCAACCCTCCAAACACCAAAATGCCAGCCAGTCAATGAATGAAGGGCCAGACGGCAGCCTGGTGGTTAAGGAGGCTGGATTTCACGTGGCTGAGTGCCGTCTGAGTCCCAGAGCTGGCGGTCTGAAAATCACGCTGGGAGCATGTGTGTTCATGCCCCAAATCCTGAAAGGAGGGGGAAATGGGGGAGAAGGGTTTGGCATGGCCATTCCTCCCGGAAGGGGGTGCTTTCTTATGTTCCCCCTCTCCCACTCTCTCTGCCTCCTGTCAGAGCAGCCCCCTGGCAAAGTGGAAAGAGAGAGGAAGTTCCAAGAAGCGCATGGGACCTGCTGCAGGACCTCCCCACGTCATGCACGGGCTGGCTTTTCTCTCCCGTCATCTTTGCAACAAGCTCCTGCAGTTATCCAGAACAGGATTGTCCCTGGAGAGCCCGTGTGTGGCTGCTGGGACGAAGGACAGAGAGGAGTGGGACAGTCTGTTTCCAACTCTGCCCCTCTTCTCTGCCTGCTGGTGACTGAGGCCACTTCATGGTTTCACCTGCCGTGTCTTATTTTAAAAACCGCTCTAGAAATCCTGGACCCAACGCGGGGTGTGGCAGATTTAAGGACCATTTTGCAATCAACTGGTCAAAGCGGCTTTATTATTTATTAAATCTCTCTATATAACAAACCCTTTACATGTTTACCAAGAGGTAATTTTTTTAGTTTGTTTTTTTTGGAGAGGTTTTGCTATAGGGTGCATGCACTCGCCAGAGAGACAGAGAGACAGAAAGTGAGAAATCACCCTCCAGGGGGAATGGCCATGCTGCAATCCCTTCTCCTCCCGGGATCTTGGGCATGCACACACATGTGCCCGGTGTAAGTTTAAGCCACCAGGTCTGAGACTCGAACCACAGTCAGCTACATGGGAGTCCAGTGACATAGCGATTACGCCAACTGCTGGTCCCCCCCGCCCCAGAGGTAATTTATTGACCCGTTTCTGAGCTCTGAGCTCTGACTTTGGTGGGCACTGCATACATGATAAATGCAGCGAGGCAGACCCGCAGGATCCAAAGTGTCCCTTCCCCATGTGTGGGGACTTCTGCATAAACTGACCGACAGTGCTGGAAACGCCTGTGGGAGGATGGCCAGTCCTGCGGGGAGCGCGGCACGTGCAGGTCAGGAGACGGAGCACACGGCCTGCCCCGCTGCCATCCCCCGAAGGACGTCCAGCCCCAGCCACACCAGCATACCCCCCCCTCCCCGCCCCGGCCCTGAGGGGCCGGCCGCCAGCCTGTGGCCGGAGTGACAGCACAGGACACTGTGTGGCCATGGGCCAGGGCAGCCCTTACCTTGGAACTGCGCTGCCCCGAGAATCCTGAGCAGACCGTGCAGCCAGTGTGGGAAAGGCACTCCCAGGAACAGAGACTGAGTAAGGCACCAAAGCAGGAAGCCATTCCACAGCACCGAGACGACGTAGAAGTGGGAGAAGTACCTGCACGAGGAAAGCCGGTTAGGCAGCAGCCAGGGCAGACCCACCGGCCACGATCGCAGAAGGCTCCCGTTCGAGTCCCTTCCCCCATTCCAGAAGTATAGTTGTGCTTTAAAAAATTTCTATAAAAGCGTGTGTGCTCATCAGAGAGAGACAGAGCCAGAGACAGAGAGGGAAAGTGAGAAATCACCCTCCCCCACCCCCGGAGGGGATGGCCACACTGCAATCCCTTCCTTTTTGATGTTTGGCACACACACACACACACACACACACACACACACACACACACACAGCATCATTTTCTTTTTCTTTTTTATTTTGAGAATTTTTTTGCTATAGAGTGCATGCATTCGCCAGAGAGACAGAAACAGACTGAGAAACAGAAAGCGAGAAATCACCCCCCATAGGGGAAGGCCATGCCGCAATCCCTTCTCCTCCATTCTCCTCTTGGGATCTTGGGCATGCAAGCAAATGTGCCTGGCATGAGTTTTAAGTTGCTGGGTCTGGAACTCAAACTGCGGTCGACCACATGGGATTCCAGTCACGTAACCATTATGCCGTCTGTTGGCCCCCGGCATCGTTTTCCAGCCACCGGGACTGAAACAAACCGCCCCTTTGCCCGTGGGGGCCCCACCTGCCTTAACTCCCCCACCACTGGCTGCCCCTAGTGTTGCTTTGAACAGAGCCTGAATCCTGCAGATACTCGGTTTTTTGAAACTTCCTTTCAAAATACGGGACCGGTTAACTGTTGGAGAAAGAAGCCACTGTGAGCTGAACCAGAACACCACTGACCTTGCTAAACTTGGACTGCAGGTCACCTCTGACCTCTGGGTCACTGAACTGTGCTCAAGTTCTTAAAAAGGTGGCTGCAGACCCTTACAGAGCTCCCATCGTGCGAACACAGGCTCAGCCTGTAGACTGCAGAACGATTTCTAAATCCCAAGCAATACTGCAGCGAGAGTCACCGCGGCCACACAGGACCTCCCACTCTGGGCTCTCAGCGCAGGGAGAAACCGACGGGCCCCTCGGCTGGCGTTTTTCGGAGCCGCACTGACCTACGTTATTTTATTAGAACATGACCAAACTTTACATTCTGTGTTTTTTGTTTTCAATTGCCAGAGAGCATCTGTGTTCATCTGAGAGAGAAAAAGAAGGGAGAAGTATGGCCCCAGTGGGGCATGGTCACGCTGCCACCCCCTCCTCCATCTCTCCCTCCTTTCAGGATTTTGGGCATGCGCACGGCCTTGGCATGTTTTTCGAGTCACTGGGGCCAGGATTTGAACCGCAGTCAGCAATGTGGGATCTGGCTCCCTTAACCACTATGCTACAGGGCCAGTCTAAAACACTCATAAAGGTTTCATCTCCTTCCATTACAATTTGCAGACACTTATAGGGCCAGGACCGCAAGGGACGCAATTACAAACCACGTAGGACTACGGCCACGTCTACATTCCCCTGTTTTTCTCTATTCAAGCCAATGGGAAGCCTTCCTGACTCCTGGGCGCCTGGAGGTCATCGGGCTTTCTCTGGAGTTCACTGCATCGAATACTAAGCTCCCACTCCTGCAGCCACTAGTCCGTGACAATGAAAGGTGACCTGAAGTAACAAGAGGATTAGAAGGGCCAGCTCCAGGGCCTGCCCGGTGGTTAAAGGGACTGGATCCCACATGGCTGACCCCAGCACCAGCCTCAGACTCAGCACCTTGAGAAACATGCCGGGCGTGTGAGCGTGTGTGCCCAAAATCCTGAGGGAGGGGAGATGGAGAAGGGACTGGGACAAGACAGTCCCATGGGGGATGCTTTCTCCTCTCCTTTCCCTGTAGAATGCACACACCCTTGAGCAAATAAATAAATAACCTAATTTAAACATTACAGAAGAGGATTAAACATGAACTCAGGGGCTCCCTCAGAGGACCCAGAATACGCTCATAGCCCCCAGACCACGCGCACACACCGTCTGGCAGACTCTGATCTAAGATCCTGGCACAGTAACTCACATTGAACTCCCAGCCACTGCTGCCAGTTCAGCCACCAGATCTGCCCTCTCCGGCCACGCAGAACCAGGCGGCTTTTAATCCCCACGCAGCAGGTCCTTAGACTATTCCAGGAGAGCCGTCCTGTGACTCCCGGTGGAGATCTCCCCTAGGCTCAAAAGCCTATTTTTCTCCAAAGCCCCTGTACCCCTGGCTGCAGGTCCAGGCCAGGGCTTCCTTGTGAGCCTCTTCCAGAGCTGAGCCAGGTGTGGGCTGGGCCTGTGGAGCAGGGGCACAGTCAGGAAACCTGCACTGGGCTGGACAGGGGCACAGAGGGGAAGTGGGAAGCTCTGCAGAGCTGACCCTGCGGGAAGGTTCCAGTTTCGCATCTGGAGCCCTCCGTGAGTGTCCCAGGGTGCAAACACTCAAGACCTGGGGCTGACTGGGAGCAGGGTGACCGCAGCATCTGCAATGTGGTTTGTCCCAGCCCTGGTGGCTGGAAAACACTCCAGGTGTGTGTGTGTGTGTGTGTGCCCAAAATCCCAAGAGGAGAATGGAGGAGAAGGAACTGTGGTGTGGCCATCCCTCCAGAGGGTGCTTTCTCACCTTTGCTCTCTCTCTCTCTCTCTGACAAGCACACGTGTCCTACAGCAAAATGGGGGGGAAAGTTTCTGAATAAAGGGAAAGTTCTGGAGATGGATGGTGGTGACGGCGGAATAACACCTGAGCGAACTTAAAGCCCCTGAACTGTACGCTCGGAATGGGTTAAAATGGTAAATCCATCATGTATATCTTACAATAAAATAAATAAAGCATTTTATAAAGAGGGCAAAAGAATCCTGTAATGTAGTGGTTAAGTGCTGTACACAGGCAACCAGAGCCCGCGAAGTCGACTGCAGTTCAAATCCCGGTCCTGGCAGATGCATGTGTGTGCCTGCCCCCAATCCTGATGGGGAAATGGAGGAGGGATGACTGTGGCAAGGCCGTGCCCCATTGGGGGTTCTCTCTCTACCTGGCAAGCACATGCACACTCCGGGAATTAAATAAACAAACCCTCTGGTGACGAGGTAGCCACCAGCCTAGCTGTGGGAAGAGGGAGTTGTGTGACGCCTGGAAGAGAAGTTAACATGATTAAATTCCACCTTCACAACAATCCTATAGTCTGTCCTTTTCACGTGGGAAATGACAGAAGTTGACCTCAGAGAGGTTATGTTGCTGATTCAAGGTCCCACACACACTAAGTGGCAGCAGTTGGCTCCAGACCCAGCCCTGATGACTCTGCAGTTAAAAATCTCACCCTCACCTCCGACTCATGCAACCTAGGTTTTTTTGGACCTGTTTTTCCGACCCTATAGGACATGTGACCAATTTATATCCAGCCTAAAGTCAAGCAAACCACTTCAGGATGTTGTGCGTAAGTGGCTAAACCACGTCTGCTGGGCCCTGCGCTTCTGACCCATGGGCGCACTGTTCGGGCTCTTTATACCGGTGTTTTATTTTGCTGCCCGACCTCACTCTGTAGGAAACATTTTATACTCTTTTCGGCAGGTCATAGCTCTTACTTTTTTAAAAAGGTTTTTGCCATGGGTGTGTGAGTTCACTGGAGACAGAGACAGTGAGGGGGAAAGCGAGAAATCACCTCCCCAGGGCATGTGGTCACGGTGCAATCCCTTCTCCCCGTTGTCCTCCTAGGATGTTGGGCAGGTGTGCACACACACTTGGTTCCAGGACTCAAACCATGGTCAGCCATGTGGGAATCCAGCACCTTAACCACCATGCCACCTGTTGGTCCCTCTCTTACTTTTTTTTAAAAAAGGAATTATTCTTTTAAGTGTGCATATATATATATTAATTCATTTATTTTAATTTTTAAAATTTGACCTTAGAGAAAAGGAAAGTGAGAAACCAAGATACCAGGTCCAGGACTTGAACTGTGTTTTGCCATGTGGGAATGTCCAGCAGCTTAACCACCACGTCACCTGCTGGTCCTATATATATATATATATATAAATTTTTTTTTGAGAGATTTTTGTTATAGGGCGTGTGCACTCACCAGAAAGACAGAGGGAGACAGAGAGACAGAAAGCAAGAAATCACCCCTCAGGGGGGATGGCCATGCCGCAATCTCTTCTCCATTCTCCTCTCGGGATCTTGGGCACATATACACATGTGTATGTGAGTTTAAGCCACCAGGTCTGGGACTTGAACCATAGCCATCTACATGGGAGTCCAGTGACATAGCCGTAATGCCAACTGCAGGTCCCTATTTATATATTTTTAATTTGACCAGAGAGAGACAGAGACAGAAAGAAAGAAAGTCAAAAAGCAAGCCACCAGGTCTGGGGCTTGAACCGTGGTCAGCCATGTGGGAATCCAACACCTTAACCACCACACCACCTGCTGGCCCCCCTTACTGTTTTTTAAAAACCATACTTGAGTGCTGACAGGCAGATCTAAATACACCATTTTCTGTTTTAGACACCCCCCTGCTCCTCCTGTGGCACTCTGCTTACCTGTTTTCCACGGCCTGGGAGCAGGAGCAGGGACAGGGGCTCCTTGTGACCGCACAGGCACCCGGTGAGCACTCCTCTCATCGACACACACTGGGGCTTACTCTAAGCCACGTCCACGCAGGGCTCCCAGGATATGGCAGCCAACACAACAGACAAGAATTCCTGCCCTCTTGGGGCTTCAACTCGCAAAAACAAAGGGAACCTCTCAATTTTACAGCACGTCAGGAGGTGAAAACTGCTGAGAAAACTAAAGCAGAAAAGGGGACGAAGAAAAGCTGGAGATGGCAGAATTATCATTTTAAACAAGGTGGATTAGGAGGGCCTCAGGGAGAAGGTAATGTCTGAGTAGAATGATAGAAAATAAGGGTGTAGGGACCAGCAGTTGGTGTAATGGCTATGTTGCTGGACTCTCATGTAGTCGACCATGGTTTGAGTCCCGGACCCAGCAGCTTAAACTCACACCAGACGCATGCGCATGCTACCCCTGCACCCCAAAGCCCTCAGCAGTTGTCCAAGGCACCCTGAATAAAATCCAGACTCCACAATGGCTGCAATGCTCGGGAGAGCTGCCTGCATGCTTGCCTCCACATTTCGCTGATGGTCAAATAACTCTGATGAGGGACCAGCAATTAGCATAATGGCTACGTGGCTGGACTCCCACATAGTCGACTGCGGTTCGAGTCCCGGACCCGGTGGCTTAAAACTCATGCCAGGCGCGTGTGCGTGCGTGCCCAAGATCCCGAGAGGAGAATGGAGGAGAAGGGACTGTGGCGTGGCCATCCCCCCTGGGAGGTGATTTATGCCCTATAGCTAAAACAAAACAAAACAAAACAAAACAAAACTCTCCAAAAAAAAAAAAATAAATAACTCTGATGAAATCTCCTCTGAGGCACTGCTCATCACCTGAAATCATCTTGCTTGTTTTACAAGAAGTGTTTACATATTTGTTCTCTGCCTTTCTAGAACATCAGCTCCTCAACTCAAGGTAAATAAATGAATGAGAACGAAGGTTAGTAACTCATCCACAGGGACTCTCAGAATAAGGAGTCAAGCTAACCGACAAACCTATTCAACCCAAAACCGCACATCTCTCTCTCTCTTTTTTTTTTTTTTGGTCGAGCGCGCACA